CTAGCTGGAGTATATACTGGTATAAATGGTTAATATACTCAGCTGCTAGCTGGAGTATATACTGGTATAAATGGTTAATATACTCAGCTGCTAGCCAAAAGGCCGAGTCCAGCCTGTGGTTCCTTGGAAGACAGGCCTGGCAATCTACTTCCTAAAATCAACCACTGAAAACCCTAAATTCTCATTAATTGTTTTAGAGCACAGCTTTTACTCTGACACACGAGATCATCATGTGCAGGTGTCCATTCCAGGTTAAATGCTTTGCTGTGTGTTTTCTATCCCATGCCAACTAGGTTAAGACCTGAGCCCAAACTGATTTATTCAAGGAGACTAGTCAGACCCCAACCTAAAAGCTCCTCTCTCCCCCACCAGAGAACATGATGGCCTTCACTTGGGGGTGAACTGCTACTGGCAGAGCTGTTTTGGCTCCCCATATAAGATCTATTTATAATCTCAGTCTAAGGGTGGAGGTGTATTTCTATGTCATTTTAAATTCTAGAACAAAATATTTGCTCCTATTTCAACTCCTTGAATTTTCCGTATGTATAAAACTTTCAACCTTTACAAGAAAAACATACCCTTTTTCCAGAAGAAACTTGACTGCATCCGTGTTGCCACTTGCACAGGCCGTCATTAGTGGCGTTTTGTAATACTGATCCTTCATATCCACAGGTATTCCTGATTCAAAGGCTTTCTTCAGAGAAGCCAGGTCCCCTGCCTTGGTGACAAAATTAATATTTGCAAATACCTTCACGGAATCATCAATGTACCAAGCAGAATCATCCTGAATTGGATGCTCTGGTGGATGATCTCTGTTGAAGCGAGTGCAGTCAGTGACATTTTTGTAGGTTTCAATCATGTAATACGGTGGCCCGCCATCTTTCCTCACTGGAAATGCATTCTCAGGGATGGTGCAGATTGGGAGAGGCAAAACAAATTTGCCTTTCTTGCCTCTTTTACCTATTCCCTTTTTCTTTTTCTTAGGCCCATAGGATCCCAAGACAAAATTCTTGTTTAAGTATCTCGTTCCTTTAAAGAAATCATTAATGTTAACTCCTCCTCCCCTAGATTTTTCATGAAGTTGTGCTATGCTAACCAGCTGCTCCGTGTCCAAAAATTCTTGCCTCTCCTCCAGCGTCAGAATGAAGTCCTCCTTGCTAACGGTTCCATCACCTCTGTCCACAAATGAGAACGCTTCCCGAAGGAAAGTCTCGTGCTCTACGGACCAATCATGTAGTCGCAGAGCCCAGAGTGGATTGGGATTTTTGGCTCCTGGCTTGGCAAGTTTATTGGCAATTCGCTCGGCTTTGCGTATTTCTTTGCTTGCTGCTTTGAAGCCCCCATCCTTAGCCACCATCCTGGGTGTCTTATGCTGCAAGTTCTTCCATTTCAAGTCACATCCTAAAACACGAAGCATCATTATTATAAGTGACGCCAAGGTTGTCTGCTGACCCTAAAATGATATTCATTCAACGGTTTCTTACTTGGGAGTCATTAGTCAAAATTCCCAACATTTTACTTTGAGAGAGTTGAAACTATTTAGCTACTTTACTATTGTAAAAGTAAGCCATGAAGTGTTTTTTTTTTTTTTTTCTGGAAACTTCATTTTGGTCAATCCTGAGGTATCTGTGAGTCTAATTTATATTCTCTGCCCTCAAGGGTTAGGTGATTTATTCCTTTAGATGCTTGAAACAAATAGCATTTCAGTTTACTTACTAAGGTGATTTGCTGTCAAAAAATGAATGCACAAACGTGCCATTTGAATTTGGAAATTTGCATTCAGACCATTTATGTTTAATCTTATGAGGTCACAATAGTGAATGATGTGCCTTTACTTTTTTATTGACTACAACTTTTAACCTGTACACAACCTAATACAATAGTTTATGTACATTTTCCACGAAATTGTGACTTAGCTGTTGCTTTCTGGCAAGGTCACACCAACAACCTTACCAGAGGGGAAAGTGATTTGCCAAGCAACGTGAGGAGATCTGTGTTCTGTACTTGTTGTGTGCAAGTCAGACATTAGGATTCATTTACTTTTCAGTCCCTCAATTAACAACATGATGAGACCAACATTATCTGTAAAAAGCCTCCAAACAAACAAATGGTTTGGAATGCATCAGAGAATTTGCATAGTGCTCCTGGGAAGGTTATGTTATCTATAGGAGGGGTCTTAGAGACATTAAAAGCAGATGGTTGTCAATAAGTCAGACTACGATGAAGCTTTCTAAAGTTTTCAATCTAGATCAGCAGTTCTCAACCTGTGGATCGCAACCCCTTTGGGGATCGAACAAGTCTTTCACAGGGGTTGCCTAATACATCCTGCATATCAGATATTTACAGTATGATTCATAACAGTAGCAAAATTATAGTTATGAAGTAGCAATGAAAAGAATTTTATTGGGGGTCACCACCACATGAGGAACTGTATGAAAGGGTCATGGCATTAGGAAGGTTGAGAACCACTGATCAAGATGGTTCTCCTGTTGTTCTGCAAACATCACATAATCATAAAGGGTTCACCCTCAGGCAGTAACCAAAACTTATAGGTCACTGTATGCAAAGGAAAGCATGTCCCTGCAACATATTACAAATTTATTCTTGCCAGAGAAATGTTTGTCATGGTGGTTGTATTCAGGATCATTGATTCCACTTATGTGCTTCAAAGAAGAAAAGACAATACCTATAGATCAAGACAAATGATCATTTTGCAAGATGAATACTTTGTTATTAAAAATGAAAATCTATCCTGATTCATAGGGTGCCTATAGGACAGGATAGAACTGCCCCCTGTGGATTTTCAAGACTGAAACTCCTATAAAAGGAGTAGAAAGCTTCATCTTTCTCCACCAGAGCAGCTGGTGATTTCAAACTGCTGACCTTGTGGTTAGCAGCCCAACACATAAACCGACACGAGGTAAAACCAAAAAATGTAAAGGACAATTTTAAGATTCTAAAATTTGTGTGTTGGAATTTTCAGAATAGTCATTTATTAAGAAGGGGTCTCTGAGACTGGTTTCAATAGAGTGCTGTAGAAGAACGTTGCAAAGCCAGGGTGTTACTTTGAGGATAAAGGGACAAAGGTATGCCTGGATCAAACCAGGGTATTTTCAATTGCCTTATATGCATGTGAAAGTTGGATCCTGAATAAGTAAAATCAAAAGGATATTTCAAGATCTATATGGGAGTACTGAACCGTCTGTGATAGGGTGATATCTATGCCTTTGTATCGATGCACTTGAATTTTGGTGCTAGCAAAGAATATTGAAAGTATCATGGACTGTGAAAATAATACACAACTCTATCTTGGAAGAAGTACAGCCACAATGCTCCTTAGAAGCCAGGAAAGCAACACTTCATCTCATGTACTGTGGACATGGTGCCAGGAGAGATCAGTCCCTGGAGAAGGATATCGTGCCCAGTAAAGTAGAGGGCCAGCAAAAAAGAGGAAGACCTTAGACAAGATGGATTGACACCGTGGTTGCACTGACAGGCTCAAACATAAGAACAATTGTGAGGATGGCACAGGACTGGGCAGGGTTTTGTTCCATTGTGCATAGTAACTTAATGAGCCAGAATCTACGTGATGGTGCCTGACAACAATAACACAACAATAACACAGCAAGCACATTGTTTTTAGCTGGTTCCTTATTCAGAGTCTGAGGGTTTTATCTACCTTCCGTTAAGGCATTCTATCTATACTACTCCAACTTTAAGAATCAAAGATTTTTAACCCACTGCTAACTTGCCCACCTGTTTCTAATTTCCTTCTATTTATCACCCTTTACATGGATACGAGACTACATCTCCAAGATCTGAAAGCATGTTCCTCTCCCCTTGACTTGAGATGTTTTGTCTCCTACTTTTGTTTAGGACAGAGAAAAAAATCTATCCATTCTTTTTTGTAATTTACATAACTCTATAGTCAAATAACGGCTTTTGAGCGCTACAAAGTTTGCATTCAACCATCAGGGTTTTAATCCACCCAGTGTCGCCATGGAAGGCAGGCTAAGTGATATGCTTCCATCAAGATTCCGCTGAAGAAAACCCTAGGGAACAATAATACTACTATGTAACACACAGGGTTGAAATGAACTGGTGGGCAAAGGGTAGTTTGGGTTGGGGGTATTTTATGGTCCAACATCACCACTTCTCTGTCAGTTTGTCTTACTCTAATGGCTTGCGTGTTGCTATAATCCTAGAACCTATCACTGGCATTTCAAATACCAGCAGGGGCATGATCTAAGGCGAACAGGCTTCAGCAGAGCTTCCGTATGAAGGACAGACCACAAAAACGGAAAAGGCTCTCTGCTTAGCAGGAATTAGCCACTGAAAACGTTTTGAATCGCAGTGGAGCACGGTCAGATACTGAGGACCTTCTGAGTATCAGGGAAACCCTGTCAGAGACACAGTGGCAGAAGACGAACCCCTCGTTGGAAAGGCTCACAAAGTATGACTCAGGAAGAGCTGCCTTCTCAAAGTAGAGGTGACAACGACGACATGGAAGGAATGAAACTTTAGGGACTTTCATTTGCTGATCGGGCTAGGTTCAAAACAAGGGGAACACACCTGCAAATATCTAGTAATAATTAGAACTTGGAAAGAGTGAAGTGTGAATCTAGGGTCATTGGAAGTTGTCAATAATGAAATGGACTGCACAATGCTCGCTATCCTAGGCATTAGTGCGCTGACATGGACTGGTGTTGGGCATTTGCATCAGAAAATCGCACCGTTTACTATGCTGGGCATGCCACATCCAAGAGGAATGGCATCGCATTCGTTGTAAAACAGGACATTTCAAGATCTGAAAGTACAATGCTGTCTGGGATAGGACAATATCTTTGTACATACAGGAAATCCAGTGAATACATTATTATTCAAATTTAAGGACCAAACACTAAAGCCAGTGATGAAGACATTGAAGAATTAATTCTACCAATTTCTTCCATCAGAAATTGATCAAGTGCAATAAAGATACATCTATAATTATTGGTGGCTGGAATGCAAAGGGTGGAAACAAAGGAAATAACAGTAGTGGGAAAACATGGACTTGGTGATAGAAATGAAGCTAGAGATCACATGATAGACTTTGCAAGACCAATGACGTCTTCATCTCCAATACTTTTTCAACAACACAGACAAGGACTCTACATGCGGACTTCTCCCGAAGGAACACACAGAAATCAAATTGACTAGAGCTGTAGGAAGAGATGACGAAGCAGCTCAATATCACCAGACAAAACAAGGCCAGAGGCCAACTGTGAAACAGACCATCAATTGCTCCTACGTAAGTTCAAGTTCAATTCGAAGAACATTAAAAACAAGTCTACAGAGAATGATGAGGGCAACAAATGTATCAGTGTGCTTTCCACAATTGATGTATGTATGGATTGTGATAAGAGTTGTATGAGCCCCCAAAAAATGATTTAAAAAAAACCAAGTCTACAAAAGCCAAAATAGGACCTTGAGTATGCGAATAGGAAATTCCACCTGAATTTCCAGAACATCTCAAAAATATATTTGACTCATTGAACACTCTATGACAGAAGACTTGATGAGCTGTATGGGATGCCGTCAAGAACATATAAAAGCAAAAGATGATTTAAAAGACAGAAAAGAAAGAAAAGATCAAAGTGGATGTCAGAAGAGATGAAAAATCGCTCAATCATAGAATAGCTAAGGCCAATGGAAGAGATGATGAAGTAAAAGTGAAGAAGAGATCGTTTCAAAGGGTAACTCAATAAGGCAAATCAAAGTATAATGAAACATGCAGAGACCTAGAGGTAGAGTATCTAAAGGGAAGGGCATGCTGAGCATTTACCCAGCTGAAAGGATTGAAGGGGGGAAAAGTCAAGCTTTGACTTTTAATATTAAAAGATTCTATGGGAAAATATTGAATGATGCATAAAATATTAAAGAAGATGTAAAGAAAAAACACACTGTATCAAAAAGAACTAGTGGACATTCAGCCACATCAATAGATAGCATATGATTAAGAATCAATGGTAGTAAGAAGTCCAAGCTGCACTGAAGACATCAGCAACAACAACAAAAAAATATCCCAAGGATTGAAGGAATAACAACTGAAATGTTTCAAGAATTAAATAAAGCACTGGAAGCACTTATTCTTCTATGTCAAAAAATTTGTAAGGCAGTCAGTTGGCCAACTAATTGAATGAGATCCATATTTGTATCTATTCCAAACAATAGTAATACCAAATATTGTGGAAATTATCAACCAATATCATTAACATTACATGTAAGTAAATTTTTGCTGATTATCCTTCAGCAATGGTGGCAGCAGTACACTGACAGGGAGCTCCCAGAAACTCAAGCCAGATTTAGAATAGGATGTAGAACAAGGGATATCATGGCTGATGTCAGATGGATCTTGGCTCAAAGCAGAGAATACCATTAAAACATTTACTTGCATTTTATTGATTGTGCAAAGGCATTCAACTGCATGGATCACAACCAACTATAGACAGTGTTGAGGAAAATGAAAATCCCAAAACAATTATGCTCATATAGAACCTGTACACGGACAAAGAGGCAGTCACTCAATCAGACTAAAGGAATACTGCATGGTTTAAATTCAGGAAAAGTGCATATCAGGGTTGTATCTTTTCACCAGACTTAGTAAACCTGAGAAAGTAATCTGAGAAGATGGAGCATAGAAGGAGGTGTGGCATTAGGATTGGAGGAAGGCTTATTAAAAAGCTGGGATATGCAGATGCAACAACTTTGCTTGCTGAAAGTGAGGACATGACACATTTGCTGTTGAAGATCAAAGATTGCATGCAGCCTCAGGATGGATTGCACCTCAATGTAAAGAAAACCCAAACCAGGACAACTGGGTCAATAGATAACATGATGATAAGCAGAAAAGTTGGAAACTGTTGAGGTTTTCTTTTCTTTCTTTTTTTTACCTTCTTAGATCCACAATCAATGCTCGTGCAAGTAGCAGTCCAGAGATCAAAGAATTCATTGCTTTGGGTAAATCTGCTGCACGAGACCTTAGTCACCTGGAGGACTAAGGTGCATCTAACCCCAAACAAGGTGTTTTTGATCGCCTAATATGCATGTGAAAGTTGAACACTGACTAAGGAAAACCAAAGAAAAAATGGTGCATTTGAATTATGGTGCTGGTGAAAAATATTGAAAAACTGCCAAACAACAAACAAATCTGACTTGGGAGAAGTCCAGCCCGAATGCATCCTAGAAGTGAGGATGGCAAGACTGCATCTCAGGTATTTGGACATGTTAATGAAGGTCAGGAAGCTTAAGGAAAACGGTCCCTCAAAGCATCCACCAGCCAGCCAACAACAGCAAACCCAGAAGGAAAGGATTCCCTAGCATGTGCAAGAAGGCTACGGGAAAAGCATGTAGAGTAACAACTAATCGAGTCACATACACACTTAAACACATCTACTAAAAGCCTGCCAACAATCACACGCCTTCTAAGTGGAGGTAAGAGGACACCAGTCAGGGAGGCCGAGTGTAAAATCAATCGCTTACAATCACAGGATGAGCCACATTTTCTGGGGACAGTCTTTTGTGAGAATTGATTCTTTTAAAACTGTACATTCTTGCTTTCCGGTGTCTGCCAGATGAATGCATTCCATACTGAGAAGCAAGAGCCAAAGAAAAGCATCTCAAACCTAGGGAAAGGATCCCATGCTTGGTGAAGCGGAAGGGAAGCAAAAAAAGAAGACCTTCGACAAGATGGATTGACACGGTGCCTACAATAATGGGCTCAAATGTAACACTGACGGAGGAGGTGGCCCAGGGTCAGGCAGTGTCCTGTGAGTCAGAACTGACTTGACAGTACCCCAAAACAGCGTGGTCAAAGGGCTCAGCTTTTAGTGCCTGGGACTGCAAAACACAGGGTTCCACACTCCATGAGAAGGAACATTCTCAATGAGGCCTTTCAGGAGATAGACCCCAAACTCTCCTCGTCTGCCGTGGCTAACGGCCCTCACCCTGCTTCAGTGGGGTTATGAATCGCACTAGTGACGTGACCAGGTCTTAAAAGAGGAGCGCATCATGGAAGATATTTTAATGTGGAAAGGAATCCAGCCAACATCAAGTCTGTACATTTCAGTATTGGGAGACAAAACCCAGAGGATTTCTGTAGCAATGAGTATTGCATGGATAGTGGCTTCTCGCTGCCCTTGTTGTCTTGGCTCTAAGATTCTAAGGTGGAAACATAACTGACAACACCTTTACGGTGGCACTGGGTCATCCATTCAGGATCTACGAAGTGGCTGTCCTTGCAACCCTACTTCAGAGTTCCATGTGGCTTCAGATATGTAAGGAACAGCAGTCTGTGATTCTGCCAGGAGGATGGATCCGTTTTCCCTCTCCAGGCACCGCCTTCTGCATGACCCAACCTCTGGTCCTTTGCTTCGCAATGTGCCTTGTATGTCATCACCAGGGAACTAACACATAAATGGTGGCATGTATGTTTGGTGGTTTTTGTCCCAATAAGAAATGAGTTAGCATGGGAAAGTGAAAGAAGTGTGAACCAAACTGAGCAACCGAGCAGACCTTTAGTTCTGGTAAATCCATATGTAAAAACAAAGTATCAGAATAAAATATGGAGGGCAAAAGGTTTGGAGGTAAGACCAATGGAACAGTTTGAGAGAATCAAAATATTTGATAGATTTGTCAGGTTTCCCGTTTTAAAGGTGGTGTTGTTTTTTTGGGTCGGGGGACAGAGGGGGCATTAGTTGAGAAGAACCTGAATAAGTAAACATGGTTCAATCATGACACTAATTAGTTATGCAGGCACATTTGTCTTGTTTAGAATATTAGTCAAGCAACCCAGGATTTCTAAGATCCCCATGATTTCTAAAGTTCTGTGCTTATATGGACAACAGAAAACTATCGCATTCTTTCTACCCTATTTATTAAAGAGTTGTTAAGTTATGCCTGTTGCTCATAATGTAAAAAGAAAAACAAAAATCTAAGATTAAGTTCAGCTGACCCATCACTGACAAAGAATTGACAACTTTTAAAATGTACCGTATATACTTGTGTATAAGCCGAGTTTTTTCCGCACATTTTTAATGCAGTTTTTGTGGTAAAATTAGGTGCCTCCGCTGATATTCGGGTTGGCTTATACTCGAGTATATATGGTATTCAAGTAGCATGCTATCAATGCCAAATTGATCTATGTCTTTAAATATAACTAGCTTATAGTATAATTTTACATCACACAATAAACTATATATTATATATTCTTCAACTAAGGAAGTTACTTAAAAGCTATAGGAAAACACAAAAGAACAACATTGCTTACATTTTAAATTTTCCGTGAAAATCCCCATTTTGCTTCATGTCTCCCTAAAATATTTACCCAATAATGAAAAGTTTCCAGAAAAACCATCTTTGCATTTAACACAATGGAATACATTTAAAGACAGAATAGTGGCCAGTTAGGTGAAAAGATACCATGTCAGTGCTTGCTCCTCCTTCTGTGAATGCTGTCATTTAAAAAATAAGGAGTGTAATGAACTATAAGAATTTTTAAGCATTGGTTGACTCAAGAACAATCCCCTTCACGTTGTATAAAATGAACCTAACAGTATTTGGAGGTATGAGTTTTCATTTCTGTTAAGATAGATCCATGTTTGAATAAAAGGTATTGTAAGAAGGAAAAATCAACTTTCTATTTATGAGTAAGGTTTGGCTTTTGAGAAACATAAGCTACAGGTAAATTAAAAGTCAGAATTCTCTGCTTATCCTTCTTTTTTTAAAAAAAGAAAAACAAAACTTTAAATTTTAGGTGAAGGTTTACAAACCATCAGTTTTATACTCAACAGTTCAATCAGTTTTGTCTCAACTAATCCGTTCAAATGCTCTCAATGGACCATCACTGATCTCATTTTTTCCCTGTGTTTTCTGTTTCTATCCGTCCTTCTTCCTGGCCCTGTGAACATTGTCCTTTGGTAAATGTTGCTCTCATGTCAAGTTCAGTTCCAGGCCTGAAGGGGGACTACAGCAATAGCCCTGGATGTCCCACCAATCTCTGTCTACTCTTCTGTTTTCTGAGTAAATTAGAAATACGTTGAGCACCAAATGGCTAGGCAGTTTTACCTCGCTGAGCTATATATTTGCAGCAATCTGCAAAGCCTCCCATGGCAGCATAATGAAGTGGTGTGTTCCCATTCATCGCTATCAGCCCCATGTCTCCATGGTAGGCAAAAAGCAGCTTCAATATCTGCAAAGGAAACAGCAGATATTATAGAGGAACGGGTGTGAATATTTACCGGACGAAGGTTGCACCTAGGCCTTGCTATCTAATACATTAGAGACTAAGACCTATGTGGTTACTTCAAATTTAAATGTATTTAAGACTCACATTAGAGTTAATTACATTGAAAAGAGGATTCAAACTTCAGTTTCTCATATTAACTGGCCACGCCTACAGCGCTGAACGGCTGCAGGTGGCTACTGGCTACCATAATGGACAGAGGATACCGAGCATTCCCATCACTACTGAAAGCTCTATCAGGCAGAGGTGATCCAGCTGTGGAAAAGAGTAACCAGGAGCCCCAGTCTGGGCCTGATTTTGGGTGAAGTCACAGACATTAAAGCACACATCACAATATAACAAACATCATCAAAAGAACAAATTCTCTACCTAACATTGCTTCTATATGTAGGTATAATTTTAGTCCAGAGAAGAGCCTCAAAAAGAAAAATACAGATTAAACCAAATCAAACCGTGACTAATAGTGGCCCTTCAGGACAGAGTAAACTGCACCTAGCATGTCTGAAGCTGCCGATCTTCACAGAGACAGACAGTTCATCTTTCTCCTACAGAGCAGCTCGTGTGTTCGAATCACCAGCCTTTCAGTTAGCAGCCCAATGCTTAACCTACCGCATCCCCAGAGCTTCTTAAAATAAAGATAGCTCGATTACAATGCAAAGAAATGAAGGCAAAGGGATTTTAGATGAAATCCAGAATTTTTTTAAAAATTGGATACCCTTTGTTTCTAGTTCATTTCTGCAATGTCACTAAGTCTACCAGAAATCCATGCTGTCATGTCCAAATCACTAGAACATCTAGTGTGTAAGAGTCTGGTGAATTATAGATACATACAAACACCAGAGAGATACGAGTGTGACGGCCCTATTCTCCTCTCAGCTAGAACATAGACCATCTTGGAGTCTCTGACACACGATGTGAGTTTAAAATAGGGCAGTCACAGCTGGCAGGGATTTATAAATTGTCAGTGAAGGATATAGAAAGGTCTTATTAGTACTATTAAATGGATAAGCTAGCCAGAAGACTACACAGAATATAAAGCTGGAATGTGTTTCGCCAAGAATCTTTGGTGTAAGATATAGAATTCCTTGGGGGATGAATGTCAAACAAAGCTCAAAAAAATTCCTGCCTTTGTGTAACCGATGTGATATCTAAGATTTTGAGAATAAGAGGGAGAGAGCATTTTAAGCAACACATTTTAAAGCAAGGAGCGGATTATTACATCAAAATAGCCTCCTTTGGCGGCAAAATGTGCAGCATGATGTCTCTCATTGTCAAATGCATTCACTTCACCTCCTCTCTCCAGTATCCCTCGAACGAGTTCCAACACGCCTTCTCGTGAAGCTTCCATTAAAGCCGTGCGACCTGTAGACTGGAGATTACACAGATCAACTGCTGTTTATCATGGTCGCATGAAACCACACTGGGGCTGCCACATCTAAAACTCAATTGGTGTACAGTCTACACCTATTGGGTCTGAGACACACAGAAAACATGCTTGTTCTCAGCATCTTTATGATCATGTGATAATCGGGAAAAATTACGCAAGTAAAATGAGCCACGGGCTACAAAATGTAGCCCTCTCAACTCAGTCAAGCTCCCGAGTTATCCTGCTCTGAGAAAAGCCTGCTCGTGCATGTAGGTCTTACCAGGAAGACAGAGTAGAGAGAGAAGAAACCCAGAACACGTATGTTTTCTAATGAGAATAAAATCTAGTTTGTGTAGATTCATACATAGTCTAGAAATAGCAATTACAAGAAAAGGAGACTCAATTACAAGAAAAGAGTGGAGCAAAATGCATACAGGAAAGAAGCTGAGTAACATCAAGAAGGCACAACAAAAAAAAAGGCAAAAGATTTGAGCATTGATTATACTCTTTCCACTCCTCTCAATAAGTATATTTTAAATAACAAAATGCACGTAATAAATATGAATTTTCCTAGCATAATTGAGAAATAGACTACAGAACCATGCACACAGGAAAATAATGAAAATAGATCAGCTAAAGCATTTTGAATAGAAATGCACAGTCTATGAGGCAAGAGGGTTATTCTAATGTATTTAAGTGCAAAATCATACTAGTACAATTCTATCATTTAAAAAAAGGCAGTTTTTATCACCCCAGGGGTGGTCATACTGAGTTGATGGCATTTGGATTGGCTCCTTTTTCCAGAAGCGTCAGGCATATGTCTTTCACATCGTGCGCTTCTTCACAAGCTCGGAGGAAGACTGGCTTTCCTTCGTAGGTGACATTGTTGACGTCTGCACCGTGCTCCAGGGCAATCAACGTACAGCGATAGTGGCGCTTGGTAGGCAAAATGCAGTAAAATAAAATGCCTGTCAAGAAATACAATCCCCAAAGAGGCCTGGATTAGCAATCTTGCTCTATTGGTATCTTTTAGGAGGAAAAACGCTCATTAAAAAAAAAAATCAATAATTAGCTGGCAGAACAAAAGCATATCTAAGACCAACTGAAACACCAAACCAGAAAAAAATATACCAAAAAAGCAGCTCCATCTTTGATCGTGTTGGAAAATAATCACAACCAAATATATGACAGGACCCGCCTGACTGAGGGAAGAATTGCATGCTGACTCATGAATTACTGCTGACCCTGGGTATGGGGCATCTTGCAGTCCACACCCAAGGGTCCCTTTTGGGGAGGTGCGGTACCTTGGGCACTTACAGGTCCCTTAGAACTGGTGGCATAGTGTGTTAAGAATCTGGCTGTTAATCACAAGATTGGCAATTAAAATCCACTATCTGCTCTCACGAGAAAAATGAGGCTGATCCCATAAAATGGAGACAGACTGGAATTACGCTGCCACGTACCACGAACAACTAAGAGTACCAGAAGCTAAAAGAGAAAAGGTAAAGTCGTCCCTAAGCCTTCAGAGAAATTATGGCCTGCCTAGCACCCTAAACACACCCAGAAGTATGTAAAATAAATTTCAGTTGTTTTAAACTTAATA